ATTGAAATAATTATCTGTGTACTACAATATGTCACAACCATGCCGGTTCTTTTGTAGGATATATAACTAGCAGAATTCTTGTTACATTTGTAATTTTGATAGTCACAGTGCCTCCATAGAGAAGGCTGTGCCAAATCACACACCTATCAGCAAAGTATGCCTTTGTCTTGTTTCCCCTTACTCTGGCCATCAGTTATCCAGTTTCAGAATTTGCTAATCTGACAAAAATGGCATCTTACTGTAGTTTTGATTTCTATTTTTATCAGTTAGCTTCAGCATCTTTTTATGTGTTTGTGCATAAACTGGTCATATCTTTCACATACTTATTTAATAGATCATTGGACTTCAAAATTCTGATTGTAGGAATTCTATATAACAAGGATATTAACCCTTTGATATGAACTGCAAATATTTTCTCAGTTTTCTATTTGTCTCGACTATTTGTGTATATTGCCATCCAGATTTTTAAAATGTAGATTATCAGTTTTGTTTTTTTTTAAAAATAACTGGATCTCCAGTTTTTAGAAAGTTCTTACTCATAAATAATGATTAAGACATTTTGTTTCCTCCTTCACACATACATGGATTTTTCATAAATTTTATTCCATCAATAACTTATTTTAATGCAAATCATGAAGTAGGAATCCATCTTTGTTTCCAAATGACCACTCACTTCTCCTCACTTAAGTAATCCATCTTTATTCATTTGCAAAACAACTTTATATTCTAGAATTCTTATATGCATTTTTGTTATTTTTAAATTGACAAAACATGTATTTATGGTACACAATGTGATGTTTTGATATTAACATGTTCATAACTTCACACACTTATGTTTTGTGGTAAGAACATTTAAGGTCTACTCTGTTAGCAATTTTCTCGTATACGATTATTAACTATAGTTACCCTGCTGCACAATACCTCCAGCACTTATTCCTCCTAATTGAAACCTTGTACCCTTTGCCCAAATCTCCCTGTCCGCCTCCTCTCCCTAGCCTATGGAACACCTTTCCACTCTCGGCTTCCATGAGTTCAACTTTTTTTAGATGCCATATACCCGTGTGAGATCATGTGCTATTTTTCTCTGGCTCATTTCACCTACTGTAACGTCCCCCAGGTGCATCCATGTTGTTGCAAAGGATAGATTCATTTGCAGTATTATTCAGCTTCTTTATGACTGAATAATATCCCATCATGTGTATGTATCTTATTTTCCCTGTCCACTCATCTGCTGATGAACACTGAGATGGACTCCTTATCTTGGCTATTGTGAATAATGCTGCAACACACACAGGAGTGCAAATACCTCTTTCACAGACTGACTTCATTTCTTTTGGCTATATACCCAGTAGTAGGATTGTTGGATCATATAGGGAGTTCTACTTTTAATTTTTTGAGGACTCTCCTCTGTTTGCCATAAGGGCTATATTAATTTACATTCCCATCAACAGTGTACCAGGGTTCCCATTTCTCCATATCCTAACACTTGTTACTTACATGCATTTGGGTCTATTGATCTATCTCGTTTCATTATTTGTCTTTTTATGAACCATGTCTCATATTACCTTAATTATGTAGTTCTATAATGTTTTAGTATCTGGTAGGACTAGTTGCTCTCTCCTTGCAGGAATTTTTGGGAGACATTTTTATTTTTCTACATCAACAGAAATAGCTTGCCCAGTTCTAAAAAAGTATCTTTGTATTTTACTGGAATCATGACAAATTTATAGATTAGTTTAGGGAAAACTCAACACTTTTTAAAAATACTGTTGATTTTTCTTTTCTTTTTGAGACAGAGCCTCAAGCTGTCACCCTGGGCAGAGTGCCTCACAGCAACCTCCAACTCCTGGGCTCAAGCGAGTCTCCTGCCTCTGCCTCCCAAGTAGCTGGGACTACAGGTACCCACCACAATACCTCACTATTTTTTGGTTGCAGCCGTCATTGTTGTTTGGCAGGCCCAGGCTGGATTCAAACCCACCAGCTCAGGTGTATGTGGCTGGTGCCTTAGCCACTTGAGCCACAGGCGCCGAGCCCTGTTGATTTTTCTTATCCAATAACACTGGTATGTCTTCAAGTGATTACATCTTATGTTTCTTATGGGGATTTTAAAGTTTTCTTCACTATCAACTAATAATAAAAAGTCCCTCCTCCTTTCTACTTTATTTTCAATATTTCTATTTTTTCTCTTATGCTCACTAGTTCATGCTGGACTATTTGTTAACAAAGCCACTACCCAACCTCAAACTAGATCACTGTCAATAACTTACTATTCTACTTGCCTGCTTCTTCTGAGATGAACATGACTGTGAATTTTTAGTTCATTCTTTTCCTTTTTATCATAGTGTATTATATACATACGTACAGTCAATTCTCATTATTCAGATTCTGTATTTGTGAATTCATTTCTGTATTTATTTCTAATTCCACGATCAATGCAGAGCTCTTGCAGTTATCTGTGGAGATGCAGTGTTATTTTCTCAGCTGAGGTTTAACAGGCCTTGTTTTAGCTTTCATAAACAAGCATCCTTTTTATAGTCTATTTAGTGCTATGATTTTTACATTTTTGTGCTTTTGCTTATTTTGCTGCTTAAAATGGCAACCAAGCATAGAACTGAGCATTCCTAAGGTGGCTGTGATGTGCCTTATGAAGAAAGTACGTGTGTTATCGGCAGAGTCCAATGTTAATGAATTAAGCATATGTGTTAATAAGGTATCTTTAAACAGAAATACACATATAACAAAGGTATGTATTTACAAGCTGATGAAAATATGACCAGTGGTTTGTAGGAACCTAACCCTGTATTTCTACTAGGAGTAATGTGTTCATGACAACTTTGTAGAACATAATTACTGTGAGTAACAAGAACCACTGTATACACACAGACACGTATTTTTACATACACTTGTTCTTCAGTATCTGTGGGGAACTGGTGCTAGGCCTGCCCTGCCAAAATCCTTGGGATTCTCAAGTCCCTGATACAAAACAGTGGAGTATGTGCATATAGGCTATGGACAACCTCTCATTTACTTTAAATTTTATCTCTGGATTACTTAAAATACCTAACACAATGCAAATTCTATTCTGTTTAGGGAATAATGACAAGTTTGTACATGTTGAATACAGATGCAATCTTTTTTCCCCAAGTATTTTTCAAAGTTGGTTGAATCCATGAATGTGGACCCCATATACAAAGGACCAGCTTTATGTCTAAATAAGTTTAGTTTCATTTGTTTTTGACTGTAGCATAATATACATTGTCTTCTGAGACTGTTTTTCTTTCAACATTGTTACCCCTTGTTTTGGATGTGACTCCTATAAACAATGCATGGCTGGGGTTTGCTTTGCTTTAATATTCAATCCCACCCCCGACCTTTGGCTAGTTTAATCCTTTTCATGGTGAGTCCTGATGTACTTGTACTTTTGTCATCTTACTGTTTTACTCACCTTTTCTACACTTCTCAAATTAAAAAAAAAATTGTTTCTTCGTTATTTCATATCTCTACTCACTTAGAGATTATATGTTTCCATTAATTAATCTTGGAATTTTAACCTTAAAGACTAAAGTTGATATTAACTGCCCACCCCAAAAATAAAAGAACAATGAAACATTTTAACTCCGATCAACCCTCTTCCTATCATGCATTTTATTTATAATCTCATAATTTGGCCAATCATCATTATTTTGCAGATAACACCTGCTTATATTTCCCTATATGTAAGATAATTATCATTACTATCCATACTTTATGACCCTCAGAACTTGTATTTCCTAAGGTTACATATCTCAGAATCAGAGTTGAGATTCAGGCTGGGACATAAGATGCTTATTACTTTCAAACTGCATTCGGTTTTAGACATAGTACCTACCACCTCTTTATGCCTACTGTATACTAGGTCCAAGTGTTAATCTGACATTCATTAGTTCATCAAATCCTCACAACACTCTCATGGACTAAGTATTATGATGATACACATCTTTTTATGCCACATCTTAAGATGCCTAGACTTTGTCTTTCACAAGGTTTCACATATCAGAACCAACATTAGGATCCAGGCCTTTTTGATTCCCAATTGCCTTCCTTCATCTTTCACTCCATGTGTGATATGCTCCTCAGTCCTTGAATAAAGACTTATTTTTTCTCCATCTAAGATATCACAGTGGCCAGATAAAACTCCAGAGTCTAAGATGAAAGGCATGTTTGAGGTTACCTAGGCAAGCACTCTACCCTATGAGGTCTCTAGGAAGTGTCATTTACTCTCAGCCATTGGCAGACCTCAGCGTAACCCAGGATGCTCTCAAGTTAAACAGTACCTGACAATTTGGGGAAAATCTCTTTAAACTTTAACTCATAAATTCTAATTCTGCTTCCCTGAACCAAAGTGGTGAATAGCTACATCCTACTATTAATATATTTTAAGATATCAACTACATATTCTACTCTTTTAATTCAGATTAAGCATAAAATTCTCTCAATTTTTCTCCATGGAAACCACAGGAGCCATCAGTTTTGTCAATGGACACTTTCCATATTGAAAACTGAAAGAATTTGGTAAAGCAGTTAATCCTCACCATGGAGAAGGCTGTTTTTCCACCAGCATGGGCTCATGGGTCCCAGGACAGAGATCTGTATCCATCCTCTTCTTTTTCCTCTCTTCTCACTCACCAGAATGTTTCCAGGTATATTAACACTGTGCACAAAATAACCCTTTTTATCCTGCCATCCCCTTAAGATGCTATGGTGAAGTGACAGAAATTGGTTTTTTGCCCTGATCACAGGCAAAAGAGTGGGGGAGAAAGTGCCATGGCAAAACTAGCATGCAAGAAAGGTATCTGGTGTGGGGTAAGGTGATGCTAAAGTGGTTTGGGCTGTGGGTGCAGCTCCTGATGAGTCACACCAAACACGTAACCAGTTTCTAACTACAGTATGCACTGGTTTCTGTGTGAGCTCTAGAACATTTTCCTTCCGTCTAATCAGCAATAAACTCACATTAGATGGAATTCACTTACAAAAGGTAGGCTATGTTTATTAGAGTCACAAGCACTTGACTCACTCAGTGCGACTCAAGACCACAAAGAAGCCATTTCTCCTTTACTTCATTCTGAGTCCTAGCGCGAGAACCAGCCTGGCAGAAGTGCTGCTTGGGGCCCATTCACAGGTTTACAAGTTTCTCATTGAGGGCAATCTGTGACTGTGTGAGATTGGCCAGATAGGTCACCATCAGCAGGTCCTAAAAGACAAAGAATAAACAATAAATAAGGAGCTGGGTGAACAGAGATGGAAGGCTGACAGAGGCAACCTCCACAGTGGAGACCAGGTATGAGGACAGTCTTGGTATAAATGATAGCTGTGAGAGACTGAGAAAGAGGCAAAGGTGGAACACAGGAAGGACATGCTTGAGAACACTTGCTCATCTCTGCGGATACACATATGGGCTAGGGGTGCTGCAGCTGAGACCCATGGGTGGAATGTAGGGGGGTCTGTGAACTCAGATGGGGAAAACAAGAAATTGCATTTTCAAAAAAAAAATTGCATTTTCCTAGACCTCTGAATTTCCATCATGAACCTAGACAGTATGTCATAGGAGTATCAACAACTGAGACAATGGAATCAAGGAAAGAGAAAAAAGGGAGTCTCCAAGCACATTTACCACCCCTTCTTTCCTCCGAAGCCTCCCTGGACTGTGAGGGGGCTAGAGAGGAAGCCCTGCCTCCTCTTTCCTACTCTGGACACCTCACCCAAAGGTGAGGTGGGGGAAGAACCAGGCTCCCAGAGATCGGGAATGGCACTCACATTGATGTTGCTGTTGAGCATGGTCTCGAAGTCGTCAGGAGCAATTTTGGGTACTTGGTTAACCAGGCTCATCAAGAAGCGGCCCACAGTATTGTCAGCTGACACCTTTCCAGACTAAGCACCAAAACAAAGATTCAATGAGGCACAATTAATTCTAGCCACTGGACACTATCATTTTATCAGCACGTCCCCCAGCAGGAGTGGAGATCTGCATCCTCCCCTTTGTTGGTGCCCCTCTCACCAGTACATCCTCTGCATACTGCAACACTGTGCTTAAGGCATCCTGGATACGAGCTGATGCCCCTCCTACTTGCTGCAAGTCACTTGAGAGTCCAATCACTCGGTTCGGGCTAAAACAGGTCTTCATGATCAGGTCAACTGTGAGAGTTGGTTGCCAGGCATGGGGGTAGTGGTAGGTAACAAGTGACAAGAGAATTCAGTCATCCCACCAGAAAAAGACATGGCCTCTAACTGTCCTTTCTCTCCTTCCTACCCCATTTTGGACTCCAGTACCTTCCCCAAACTCCCAGCACTGCCCTTACTAGCTTTTCTTCCTCTTGACAGGGCTCAGTCCCTTCACCTACTATGTCAACTGCTGGTTTTGGTCTCATATGAAATGGGTATGTGGCCTCTGGTACTGATAATTTTCCACATCTAACAATTTCTCAAATAATTCCTAAATCCCATTTATAGAGGAGAATGACGGTGACTTCTAGCTATCATAAACCTTATTATCACTGTTTCCTTTTTTCTTTTTTTTTTTTTTGGAGACACAGTCTCACTATGTTACCCTCAGTAGAGTGCAGTGGTGTCACAGCTCACAGCAACCTCGAATTCTTGGGCTTAAGCGATTCTCTTGCTTCCCAAGTAGCTAGGACTACAGGTGTCTGCCAAAACACCCAGCTGTTTTCTTGTTGCAGTTGTCATAGTTGTTTAGCTGGCCTGGGCTGGGCTTGAACCCATCAGCCTTGGTGCATGTGGCTGGCACTGAGCCCACTGTTTCCTTTTTAAACCACCCAAGGCCTTCATCCTTGTTACAAAACAGCAGTTCCTTTTCCTGAAAATGCCTCAGACCTGTAAGGAGTATAAGGGAAGTCTACTCACCTCCAATGCGTTCAGTGTCGTAATATGCGTATTTCACTGTTAGAGGTGTGAACATCACTCCCATGGTCCTCCCAGGGACACCCATTAAAGTGCTGGGGAGGGAAAAGTCAAGGTAAATAGCTAGCCTTGGGAGAGGGCTTCCAGACCTAATCCAGGCTAGGAAAGCAGTCATGACAGGGGTATGGCTTCCAAGGTTCCAGATAAAAAGGTTGGGATCACTTGAACCCCCAAAGTCACAAGGGGGCAAAAATCACCTTTTCTCCTTAGCTTATGGCCACACACCAAACCCTTGGCCTGCAAGAAGGGCTTTTGGATCTGAGTTGGTCCCGTTAGAAGACCATGTAATGTCACTGATGAGAAGATAGGACTCTGAATTTCTTTGTGGAGGTGGCTACCTAGACACCCACCCCCAGGGAAAGAAGAGATAGAGACAGGTCTTTTCTGGGACTAAGCCCTTCATTAGCACTGAAAAATCAAATGACTCTGGAACACCAAGACTAGACTGAGCACTGCACATAAACTCATTAAAGGTATTGTCTTTACTATGTCAATTCTGTACTGGTCATATGGGTGTTCAACCTGTGCCCTACAGGCTGCATGTGGATTATGTGAGGACTTTTTGTTTATCTGTGGTGTCAATTATCATGAAAATTACACACGGACCTTTTTGGTTTCTCATTAACTTCCATTAGTGTTTGTGTATTTAATGTGTGGCCCAAGACAACTCTTGTAATGTGTGGCAAAGAAGAATAAAGGCTGGATACCCCTTATGTTAACTGTATATACAGGTGTCTCAAAGGTAGCCACAAATAGGAAATATTTACCAAGTCATATTTTACAGTATTATATTTTATATTTTTGATATTTATATACCAACATGTAGAGAAATATTATGTATTGTGAAATACAGTGTAGATAAATATAATGTTATGAATATTTGTAAATAAAGGTACATTTAACCAGTTTCCTATTTTCCCTACATATGTATGGTGACCTTTAGGACACCCTATATACATACACACACACAAATACACTTGGGATCTTGAGACGACCGAAATACTTGGAATAGCTAAGAAGTCAGGCAATGGCTAGACTTCAGTGGTATGCCAACTGGCTCACAAGGCCTTGGCATTCACCATCTTTTTCTTTTTTTCTTATTGTACAATAGTCAACTCACTGCAGTGTCAGACACAGAACAAGCACAAAGTTAAATAGGGCAAGAGATACGTCAACGAATGCCCCTACTCTCACCAGACGATATAATCCTTTCAACTCCCACAGCAGCTCTCCTTCAGAATCCCACCTGGGTCTTCCCCCTCACTCCAATCAACCTGCATTTTAACTGCCTCCAAGCTCAGTGTGCCAGCACTGTAATGTCACTGTCACCTAACCTACACTCAACCTTGGGTTAATAAATGTGTTCAAAGGAAGGAGGGTTATCCTTTAATCTGTACTACCCTGAGTACTGTGTTGAGTTCTAGACATAATGACAAACTAAAGGGTAACTCAAAAATGAACAAACATGGTGAAGGGTCATGACAAGAATACCTTGTGAGGACTGGCTGTAGAAATTGTGGGTAGTTAGGTTCCAGAAAAGATGACTTCAAAGGAACATAACAGCTTGCTCAAATACCCAAAAGGGCTGCAATTTGAAACTGGTTAAGAGCAGTGAGTAGAGAAACCTGGCGTACAAGGAGGATTACTTACTTACTGTAAATTACAGGGACATATTTTGTTTCAGAATAAAACCTTTCAAATAACTGCTGAGAAAGAGGAATAGGTTTCCTGAGGAGGCAGCAAGTTATATACTGAGGAATTAAACTCGCTTGGGGTGGGGGTGGGGTGCCACCTAAGCATGGTCTGAACCAGACTGCCTTTTAGGTCCTTCTGGCTCAAGACCGTAGTTACCTGACATAGGCTTTGATGCTCATGCGGCCATTCTGGAGACTTGTGTCCACAGTGAGGTGAATGGGGTTGGGGGCCTCCCGGCTGTAGTACTCATGGATCAGCACAGAGTGTTCTGTGATATCATGGCCTGTAGCATACCTGGAAAATGGAGCATAGTTGCACCCTCGTGTCCATGTATAAAGTCAACACCAAACACAAGAGCGGTGCATGTGTCTCTAGGGTACCTGACATCCCTGTGCAGTGACACATAGTAATACCAAATGCCGAAAGCCATACATACATTAAAAACTAAGTTAAATCAAATCAAAGGCTGACTTTGTGCTCTTGAAAAATTCCAAGTCACCAGCATGTCAAAAAAAGACTTGCATAGTAAAAGCCACAGTTCAAAATATTTTTGCCCTCAAAGGTTCAGGGCTTCCAGCAAACACACTGAATTCAGATTACCCAAGTACTATGTTTCAATACTGTGTTTTTAAAGGAGTTCAAAATCTAGTCTGGTGGCAAAGGACCTTGGCAATCACTGAGAGACTTTCCACCCCCAACTTACCAGCCTAAGATGAGCTCATTTGGAGAGACTTTTTTGTGCAATTCATACATGTTCTTAGCAAATTCCATGTCAACAGCCACCTAAAAGGAAAGGAAGGAAAGGAAGGTAAGAAGTGAGAAGTCCACAGAAAAACTGGATAAAAAGGACAAGAGACCACCACCACCAGACAGAAGAGGCACAGGAAGTACAAACAAATGGAAAATGAAGCTCCTTGGCTGAAGCTCTAGTTATGAACACAACATACAGTACACGAGGGGCCTTGAAGGGAGCCTAGCAAATGAACAGCTATAAACTGCAGAGAAGCAGCTCAAATTTCCACTCACTTCATCTTCTGACTCATTGTGCGGCACTGAAAAGCAATTGGTGACCTCCACTGAGTGCTTGTCAACGGTTCCTGTGAAAGAAAGAATCGTCCATGTGTTATATAATCCCAAGGCTCCCAACAGTCTGACTACTTCTGAAATGCATTTGGTGGTTTCTTCCAAGTCAAACCAAAGTCATTAGCTCCAAGTTTAGCCATGTGAATCCACAGGTTTAGGATTCTCCAAAGAACTGGAGTGATCTCCATCTCCTCCCTCTAACTAACACCAAAGAGGGTTTTCTTCCCTCACCAGATCCTTTTGCCTATCTGCTACTTTCTACTACCAGCCCTCTTTCAGACCTCACTCTACCCTTTTCAGCCTTTAGATGCTCTCCCCATAATGTAATCTGCAGAGCTACATGGAAGATTTTAACGTTTATATAGAATGTCAAATCCAGCAGCCTTGCCTCTATCTCCCTTTAGCCATCTGGTCCCCAAGGTCGTATCTTCAATCCAATTATCATCTGGAAGTCCTCTACCTATGAGCCTTAAATGTCTACAGTTCATTTTCCATCACAAACTTTTGTTCCTGTAGTTCTGAAATCTCTATTCCCACTACATTTTTTCCTGACCCTATGAAGACTGCTAATTCCTTGACTTCTCCAATCACTTCCAATCTCTTGGCACCTCCTATTGTAGGCTTCAAGTGCTTCTCTCTCTACAACAGAGCACAATGTTGCCTATACCTACTAGTATTTGTCTAATTCCAGGTCTCTATTGTTTCTGCTCCCTTAGCTGACACTATGTCCTTAAACCAAATGGATATAGCATTACAAATACATTCTTTATTTTGTCTGACCTCTCACCAGAGTTCAACAGACTTGACCACTTATCCATCCTAAAACTGTCTTTTCTTGGGTTTCCATGACACCAGTCTCTTCTATTCTTCCCTCTGACTTCTCAAGTTTTCAGGGTTTTGTCTTCTATCTTTTCATTCTATGCTCCTTTTCTAGGTCAGGTTCAGACCTAGAAATAATTCTGTCAAGCAAAGTTTACACTCCAATTTTTTATGGCTGCTTTCTTGTTACAAGGCAGTGTTAAGTAATTGTGATAGAGACTACACGAGGCCTAAAATATTTATGGTCTGATCTCTTACAGAAAGTTTGCCAATCTTTGCTAAGTGATCTCATCTATTTTTACAGTTTTAATGAACTTACATATTCCAATGACATAATACCTAAATTGATGTACATGGCAACATCTCTTTTGAACCCCAGACTTTTATATTCAAGTTTCTACTTGACAACTCTACCAGAATGCTCAATAGGCATCTCAAAGGGAATATATATCCCAAATAGAAGTCAACCACTACATTTCCTTTCTTCTTCCACAATAACCAAAGATGTAGGTGTTGTCCTTGATACTTCCTTTTCTCTAAACCCTCACTTTTGTTCAGATCACATCAAATCCTATCAACTCTATTTCCTACTCATCCATTATATTCCACTCTCACTTCTGTAGCGTTTCCTTATTACTAGAGTAGCTTCTGTTGTCTTGTGCACAGCTCATGCCTGTGTCTTACTCTCTACAAAGTAGCCAGGGTGATCTTTTCATTCCTACTCAGTCTTACTTGAAATGTAATCTTGGTCAAGATCTTCCCCTAAGAGCCCCAAACTAGGTCAGTCTTACATTCTGTCTTCTCATAGCTCTTGGTAATTGTCTTTCATAGCACTTTAGATTTGTAATTACTTAATACCTTTTATGGCTCCTTATTTTGCTAGCTTCATTTCCTTCTACATTTCTTCTCTCTCCTACATTCCTGAACTCTTCAGATGGTGGGATTACCATGCTCTGTTACATTTCTTGCAAAAGTTGCTTTACTGTGTAGTTCAAATGTCATCTTTTCTGTGAAGTCTTCCCCAATCTTCTGAAATAGTTAAGTCTTCCATATTTCCCTGCCACTATGACACCCTTCTATTAAGTCATTTATCACATTATATTCTAATTATTTGCATATAAGAGCATAATTCTATCTTGAGTTTAAGGTTACAGCAGAGCTCACATAATCAAATTCTAAGTACCTAACAATTTTATGGTACATAAAAGGCAAATGCTTCATGAATGAATGTCTTATAATCTTAAGTTCCTAGCATGCAGAATCTAGATTTCATTCTTCTGTAACCATTGCCTCTATAAAACCTACAGCATTGTGCCATGATTTCACTCAGCAAGAGAATCTGAGGATCTAGCCTATAGCCTGACTAAGGGTCACTGTAATATCTGGGGTATTACTTACAAATCTTGGGTAGAGAATATTTTTTATATTTTTGAGATACAGTCTCACTTTGTCTACTCTGGTAAAGTGCCATGACCTCCTAGCTCACAGCAACCTCAAATTCTTGGGCTCAAGCAATCCTCTTTTGTCAGCCTCCCAAGTAGCTGGGACTTACAGGCATCTGCCACAAGGCCTGGCTTTTTTTTTTTTTTTTTTTTTTTGAGACAGGGTATTGTTCTAACTCAGGCTGGTCTTGAACTTGTGAGCTTAGGCTATCCACCTGCCTCAGCCTCCCAGAGTGCTGGGATTACAGGCATGAGGCACTGTACCTGACCTTTTACTTATTTATTTATTTATTTATTTTAGTTAAATAGCTCCACTGAGTTTGGAAATTTGATAGTGTAGCTAAAAGAGTATTTGTCTAGTGCTGTGATGCAAAAATTATTTATTATAGAAGCTCAGAGCAGGGCACAATTACAGAATGTTATCGTACTGTGAAAGTTAAAGATTGAGGTGAAGGTCAGGGTATGAGATAGAGGACTGAAACTTAACACTGATTCTGGGAACCAGGAAGGCAGGTGGAACTTACAGAAACAAATGAAGGAGAGCAGGGAAGATACCTGCAGCAAAGAGAATAAAAAGGTTTGGTTTGAGAAAAGACATGGCATTGTTTGGAAGATATGAGTTTAAGTTTCTGTAAAATATTATACTGTCAAAGACAGATCATGTGTGTGCATGTGTTACAGGTGGTACAGGCCTGATGTGGTGATGGCAACCAATAGCTATACCTAATGAGTGTAAGCTTTTTGTAATAATTTAGTTCTCATAAAGACTAAGTGTAAATTAGTTTCTAAACTAGATTTCAGGTAATTTTCCCCAAGGCACCGGGTTAGTATTAGTGGAGATTGCCTACAAATCTTACCCTCTTTGGAATACATCAATTGTCTTCCATGTTGAACAGTATAAAAGAGAAAGGATGCATGTACATCAAGTGGGTTCACAAAGGTTTAAAACCTGTGATCAGGTTTTAAATGGAGCGGAAATGAATTTCATGGGATCAGCAGGGCCCCCCAAAATAATTTATTATCAACAATCCCTCGTTAGGGGTTTTCAATTTTACAAACTACTTTAACATATAATATCAATTTCCCAAATCTGGAGCACTGGCATGGTAAAGTGGTAAAGATTATTCTTCAATTTGAAAGTTAAGCATAAAATTATAAGCAGATAATACAACTGTCTGTGTTTGAATCAAAAACCAGAGACAATACTGTGAGAACAGGTTTTATCACATTCAGTATTAATATAAAGGGACACTGAGAGACACAGGAGCAGTCTCAGACGTTTATGGAAGCATAATATTATAAAATCCTTAATGGGTCCCAGCCAAACTCACTTATTGAGAGGGACATCTTTTTATAAATGTCCCTGCTCTTTTGTCAACTGGCTAGAAAATTATTTGTCAACTCCTGGAAAACAAAGACATTTAGTCAATGATAAGAGAGAAAAGAGGGGCTGTTAGGCTTAAGGAGCCAAGGGTTCCTGACTTTCTAGTTGGTGGTTGAGCTCATTTTTGACAGACTGGGGCCAATCACACTTGATGTAAAATGTTGGGAACATTGAAAACAAAATGTAAACTACTAGCATATAACATTTATTTCATAAATAATAATAAACCTTGACTGTTTTATGTCACTCGAAATGACAGCAACCAGGCAGGAAAAGCTCAGGAGAGGTTCGAGTCGCTTGGAAAGGTAAGTCGCAGCTGTAAGATGGGATGGAGAAATGGATAAGGGGTCAATTGAGACCCAAGGAGAGGGAAATAGAATGCCAGAGATGAAAGAGTTAATGAAAAAAAAGGGGAGTGGGATAAAGGTGAGGTGACAAGAAAAAAAGGAAGTTAACTTTCTCCGACTACGCACCCAGCAGAGTTCCGATAACACGGGCAGCTCCCTCATTTCGTCGCTCGTAGCTGTCCACGATGGAGGCCAAAATGACTGGGTGAAGTTTCACCACACGGCCGCCAGGGAAGGGCCCTGGGAGAGCCGGACCAGTCAGTGCGGGCGCCGGGGTCTGCGATGGGGCTTGCGCTGACGCCGGGGTCTGACCCGGAGCTGTAGCTGTAGCCGCTGCCGCCGCCGGGTCTGAAGATGAGGCCGGAGCCGCAGCCGGCGCTGGAGCTGGCGTTGGCGCTGGGGCTGGGGTTGAAGCTGGGGCTAACGCTGGAGCCGCCGCCGGGGCTGGGCCGGGATTGGCGGGAGGATCACTCGCTGTTACTGCCGGGGCGGCCATCTTGTGAAAGAAGGAGCCAAGACCAGATGGGAGTGAATTAGCGACTATTAGGAGCCTGATAGGCCGACTATGTACCACGTGAGTTACATCTTTGCCTATTGGTTACTGAAGAGATTGCTCGGAGCATTAAAACATAGCTCTCTCTGGTAATTTCTTCCGGGGTTTGTGCTCTTTGTGTTTGGTCCGATGTGCACTCAGCGAATAGTGGGCTAAATAGTTCCGAGCAAACTTGGGCCGACGTCAGAAGAGAAACTACTCAGTCTGTGAAGCTGCCGCCAGGTGGAGCCAAAGAGCAGCGCAAAGATTAAAATTTGTGTTTTGACTTAAACCCTTAAACCCTTTGTGTTTTGTCAAAGCATCTTTAAAAAGGTCTTTGTTTTTAAGAACAACTGAACAACTTGTTTTTAAGAAGTAAACTGATGGCTCCATACTGAACCTCAGAGTCAAAGCATTCTATAATACACATACACTTATTTGACAATGTGAATGTTACTTTTTTGCATTATTATTATTATTATTATTGCTCAATTAAAAAAAAGGGCTTTGTTTTAATTGTTGTGTCCTTAGCTGTGCAGAAGCTTTTTAACTTGATTAGGTACAATTTATTAATTTGTTTTGTTGCTGAGATTGCCAGTGGAGACCTCTTCATAAAATCTTTGCCCAGGCTGATATCAAGAGTTTTCCTCACACTTGCTTCTGGAGTTTTTATTGCTTCATGTCTTAAATTTAAATCCTTTATCCAGCATTATAATCAAGTTTTGGAAGTGTGAGAGGTGCGGGTCCAGTTTCAGACTTTTACATGTGGCTAACCAGTTTCTCCAGCACCATTTATTAAATACAGATTTTTTTTTCTCCAGTGTTTATTCTGGTTTGGTTTATTGAAAATCAGATGGCAATACAGGGCTGGTTTCATTTCTAGGTTTGCTATTTAGTTCCACAGACCTATGTGTTAAGTTTTGTGCCAGTACCATGCTGTTTTGATCACTATAGACTTGTAGTGTAACCTGAAGTTTGACAAAGTCCCTTCAGAATGGGAGAAAATGGGGCAGCACCTGTGGCTCAAAGGGGTAGGGTGCCAGCCCCATATGCCAGAGGTTGTGGGTTCAAACCCAGCCTCAGCCAAAAACTGCAGAATGGGAGAAAATATTTAATAGGGCTGAAAACCAGAATTTATAGAGAACTCAAGCTAATCAACAGAAAAAGAGCAAACAGTCCCATTTATCAGTGGACAAGAGACAAGAACAGAACCTTCTCTAAAGAAGATAGATGAATGACCAACAAACACATGAAAAAATGCTTGTCTTCCCAAATCACCAGAGAAATGAAAATGTAACCTAATTGTATGTATCCTTGCATTAATCTGAAATAAAAAATAATAAGTAAAAGGAGTTTGTTCTCTATAGCAATGTGTCAATAGGGCAGTTTATGCATTCAACAATTTAAATATCTAATATATTCCACACTCTTTTTTAGGTCCTTAGAATATATATGTGGACAAAAAAAGACAAAATTATTTGTCCTTGAAAAGTCTACATTATAGCAGAAGGAGACGAATAATAAATAAATTGCATAATATATTAAGATGATGATAAGTTCTGTGAAAAAGGGAACACTGGGAGGAATCAGGAGTTGTTGGGGGTTAGGGTAGGTTACAATGAGAATGTGAAGTTTTAGCAAAGACTTGAGGGAGATGAGGTAGGTACCTCCTTCTTTTAGTCTGACTGAGTTGTTGGGGAACTTTTGCAGAGTTTTGAGTAGGGAAGAGCCATGATCTGTCTGAGTTTTAAAAGGATGGCTCTGGCTGCTTGAGAAAAATAGTTTGGGGGAGGATAGTGGGGAGAAGGAGCTAAGAGAGGAAGAGCAGAAAGGCCTTCTGGGAGCCCATGGGGTAATCTTAAGTGAGAGGTGGTGGAAGCCAGGCTAGGCTGGTGGCAGTGGGAGTGGTGAGAAGTAGGAAGACTGAATGGTTGAGGATGGAGACTATACAGTTTCCTGAGAAACTGTATGTGAGGTATGAAAGAAGAATCAGGGATGACTCCATTTTCTTGTGCTGAGTGACTGGTAGGGTGGAGCTGCTATTAATTGAGATAGTGAACACTACATTTGTAGCAGGTTATTGGAACAGGATCCTGATTTTATTTCGGGTGTCACCTTTGAGGGATCCATTAGATGTCCAAGTGGAGTTGTCCATAGTAGTCTGTACTTTGGTAGAGAATTAAATGAGGTAATGGTTTGTAAAGGTCTTAGTATAAGCCTGATAGACAGTGTTTTTATTAAGTCGTAGCTATTGTCATTGCTATGTGATGGAAGGTACTCTTATCTTAATTCACTGTGTAACAGGGCAATCAACATGTTTTTTTCTGAGCTTAATTTCCTTCTTGGCATAATAGGCAGTGATAATATCTACCTATTAAAAAACCCTGCCAATTCCCTTAAGCAGGTAAAGTCCCAGCATCCAGCTGGCAAAGTGGATGAGCAAGGTTGGACTTGTTAGCCCTGACTCTTATACCTGAGCATTGATTTCTCCTTGGAGCTAATTTCCATAATTACTATCCACATAGTCCTGCTTTCTTGTAAGTGTTCTGGGTATACTCATATATTTTTTCTCTTAAGTCTCCACAACAGAGGTGGATATCTTATCAGAAGAGGATTAAAAAGTGTCTCTTGGATCTGATAATCTGGGGTCTTCAGCAACCCTAGTAGAGCAGTGTCAGTGGAATTGAGTGCAGGGTGGACACAGAAACTAGAATTCAGGTGTGAGAGAATGGCCAGTCTGAATTGGAAGCAGTGAGTACTGGCCACTCTTTCAATGAATTATCTGGTAAGAAAGGAAACATTTAAGACAGTAGCCAGGGGAACAGCAGGGTTAAGAGGCAAACAATTTAGAATAGAAAAGTTTTAAGTATTTTAAACTGAGGGCAAATATACAGAGGAAAGAGGAAGACACAAGTGAGAATGTGAGAAAGTATCTATCAAGTGGGGTGGAAGGTGGATCTAAACTTAGAAGCCTAGAGAAGAGGGATAGTCTTTTACAGGATAAAGGATATGCCAGAGAGACTGCTCTGGGATATGGCCAGTCCTCTGAGATCATCCTCAGATCTCCTCTGGGAAGAAGGCCAGAGGAGAGAACCCAGACATAGAGGTTTTGCTGCTTCAAGCTGACCATATACTCTTGAGACTTCCCATTTTTGTTATCTGAGTTAGGTGTGGAAATTTCACCTTTAAGAGCTTTGCTTTTATATTACTGACCTAAAGACCTTTCTCTCTAGGAGGAAAGAAGAAGGGGATGGATGAAGACTCAGAGATGTATTGAGTTGGCATGAGAGGAAAGTTGCAGGAACTCTTGTCAAATGAGGTTTTTCTCAACTAAGTTGAGACAAGGAGATCAGCTGAGAATGGCAGTGCAAGGGCAGAATTTGGCCTTAGGGGAATGGACAGTGTTTGGATGAAGGTCTGAGAGTGAGCCACCAAAGGCATTGACCAATTATGGAAATGTCTGATGAGGCTGGAGAGCTGAAGGATCTGGCCAGCTTTTGTGAATTTTCTCCTGCCACCAAGCTCAGAAGCAGAAGGAGAGAGATAGTTGGCATGGTCTTTCCAGGGATGCTGACTGGCTGGGATGAGAGAGTGCATATATCCTGGATATGGGATTTTTAGTGGCTGTCTGAGAGATTACTGTGGCCCAGGTTTATCAGGGGAAGGGAAAAGTCATGGGAAGAGAGTAGGTGTCCCCGGATAAATGGGAAATGTGTTGTACAAATGTATTAGTCAGGGTTCTATAGAAAAACAGAAAAAACAGGATATTTGTTTATTTATTTTTCTGTTTCATTATTTTTTTTTGTTGTTGTTAACTTGGTGTCTCTTTTTTATTTTTTAACTTAATTTTTATTAAATCATAACTGTATACATTTATGGGGTACAATGTGATGATTTAATATACAATGTGGAGTGCTTAAATCAAACTAACATAACCATCACCTCACTTACTTGTTTTTGTGTGCTAAGACATTTATAATATACTCTTAGTTGTTTTGAAACGTACACTTGCATTGCATATATTATGTGAGATCCCACCAAATACCCTGCCTGTACTCGTCCTCCTCCCCCCGCCTTCCTCTCTTCCCCCTCTCCTTTCTTTCTGGACTATCTTTGTGTTTTATCATTCATATGAATGTGTGTTTATATATTGGTTTCATAATAATATTGAGTCCATTGTATACTTCCCCCCCATTCTCGAGATACTTTATTAAGAAGAATATGTTCCAGCTACATCCAGGTAAACATAAAAGATGGAACGTCTCCCTCTTTTTTATGGCTGCATAGTATTCCATGGTATACATACACCACAATTTGTTTATCCATTCATGGGTTGATCGGCATTTAGGCTGTTTTCCACGTCTTACTATTGTGAATTGGGCTGCAATAAACATTTGGATGCAAATGTCTTTGTTGTAAAATGATTTTTGTTCATTTGGGTAGATACCTGGTAATGATATTGCAGGATCAAATGATAAGTCAACTTTTAGTTCCTTGAAAATTCTCTGTACTTCTTTCCAAAAAGGCCTCATTGGTTTGCAGTCCCACTAGCAGTGCAGAAGTGTTCCTTTCTGACCACATCCACATCAACTTCTGCAGTTGTGGGATTTTGTAATACGAGCCAATGTTACTGGGGTTAGGTGATATCTCAAAGTGGTTTTGATTTGCTTTTCTCTGATGATTAAAGATGATGAGCATTTTTTCATGTGTTTGTAGGTCATGCACCTGTCATCTTTAGAGAAGTTTCTGTTCAAGTCTCTTGCCAACAAAGAAATGGGGTTCTTTGTTTAGAAAGAGACTTAATAAAAGGATTTGGCTTTTATAATTATGGAAGCTAAAGAAGTCTCAAGGTCTGCAGCCGACAGTCTGATGACCTAGGAAAGCCAATGGTATAAGTTCTAGTGTGAGGGCTGGGAGGCTTGATACCCAAGAAGAGCTGATGTTTCAGTTTAAGTCAAAAGGCTAGAAAAGGCCTATGT